AGGACGGCAATCTAATGCATTTTTGGATGCAGCTGCCAAACTGAAGGGAACGACTGCATCAGCTGTGAACTAGCCCTAAGGGGGGATATCCCTTCATTTCAGATTCCTCTCACTTCCTGAGGTGTGCATGGGACAGGAAGTGAAGGCAAATCTCCCAACAGCAACGAAAAGAAAACTAACGGCTTTTCTTTTGGCTTTAGACATTCTTTATTGCAGAGGCATTAAAGGAGAATTATGAGGCGAGCGATTTTCACTCACCTCATAATCTGAGCCATGTGACCATGAGACGGTCACAGGTCGGCTCAGTAGATACACATACCGGCGCTCGCTCACTTTTCCATCCTGTGCCGGCAGAGAGCTGTGACAGGGGAGGGACTGGATTCCCCCCTCCGATCCTCCAGCGCACGGGGGAGGGGGCGGGTACAGCTGGCTCTGCCTCTAGATAGGTAGAGCCAGCTGTCACTCACGCAGCTGGGCGGATCCAGACATAATTGTCGGGATCCGCTTCAGCTGCGCCGTCTCACTATGTAGAGAGCTACAGCTTGCGGTATACTGAGCCTAGGGTGACGGAAGGACGCTAGTTTGTGTCCTCCCGTTACCCTAAGGAGAACTATGGGGAAAAGCCTTAACCCCATAGTTCTCCTTTAAGACTAGACTAATCTCTTCTTGGACTATATATCATGCCATGAGCTTGTGTGGTAAGCAGACATCACATCACTATAGTTCCCTGTCCTACCCCTGTCATTGGATGGTTCATATTTTTACCATTGCACACAGAAGCCGGGTGTAGTCTTATTAGTCTGCTGGGTGTTGTACTCCAGGGAAAGCCTTCAGACCGTTCTGACCGCATCCCTTCACATTTACCGAGTGCTTCGTACACAAATACCGCAATGGATGAACCGTTCAGATCTTCAGAAGGGAAATCTAGACAAAACAATAGTTTATAGGCTTCGTGGACATCTATTAATCTGTCTGCCTCTTGTATATGTGCTAATAGAACAATTAGTACATAGCTCTATAATAATATCTACACTGAGTGGCCACATTATTATGACCACCCCATCAGTACTTCGTTGGGCCGCCTCGTGACTCCACGAGATGATGAAAGGTGATGCGAGGAATCTGACACGGCACTGTTGCCCTTCTGTTGTCTTGTACCAGTCTTGCCCCTCCCCCGTTCTGCCCTAACATTGACTAGTCGCTGACGGCCACAATTCGCACGTTCAGACCCAGATTTTCGGCTGACAGTCCGGTCTTTAAACACTTTAACAATGAGCCCCTCTTGAACATGTAACGAATTCTGCTGTTTTGCTGATACTCGCTCCATGGCTCCGAGCGCCAACAATCATCCCACGTTCAAAGGCTGTTACATCGCGTTGTTTCCCCGTATCTTCAGAAACAAATCACTTCTACTGTCGTGGTAAACAACCTGCTTCCCTATTTATAATGGTCTGGCCCTCTAGCAACTTCAGCGCCAAATTATAGCTCATTTGCCTACAAACGTCAGGTGGTCATAATAATCCGGCCACTCAGTGTATATAATAATCCGGCCACTCAGTGTATATAATAATCTGGCCACTCGGTGTATATAATAATCCGGCCACTCAGTGTATATACATACA